CTGTTTTGCTGCTGGAGTCCTCCTCACTCTCCATCCTCCCCTCTCATGACGCTCGCACGAGTCCTATCATGAAAAATGGTTAATTGTGCGACCTGAGTAACGTGCGGTAACGGGATGTCGGCAATTGTAACTACGTTACAGTGACAGTAAGAGTAATAATTTTGATTACTTGTTACTAAATAGTAGCGGCGTTAGTAACGCTGTTACTTTCAACGCCGTTACTCCCATCACTGCAGTTAAGGAACATAAGATAAGAACTGAAGGCTAAAATACATAAACACGTAAAAATAGAATAGGATAAATGTTTCAATTAAAATGCATTTTAGAATAAAATAAAATTTAAAATAAAATAAAATCTTGCCAAATGTCCACTCAGACATGAGAAGACTGGGCACGGATTTGGAGAAGCTCAGTCAAATACTGGGGGGCTAGACCATTAAGAGCTTAAAAACAAACAATAAAATGTTTAAATCTATCCTAAAAACAACCGTTAGCCAGTGCAGTGAGGCTAGAACAGGTGATATGTGGTCACGTTTTCTTTATATAAAGAGTTGCAGTAATCCAATCTTGTATTGATAAAAGCATAGATTACGGTCTCCGGATCTTTTTTGTGGCAGGTACCCTTTCACTTTTGATAAAATTCTTAACTGGTAAAAGCTATTTTTTACGACCCAACTAACCTGGCGATCAAATTTCAACCTGTCATCAAATATTAAAAACAAGATTTTTTACTGATGATCGAATGTTAGGTGTAAGAGGGCCCAAGAAGCCAGGGGGGGGAAACTGCTGGACTACAACCAGACATTATAATTTCTGTCTTACTTTCATTCAGATTCAGAAAGTTTGAGGCCAACCATGATTTAACATCGTTTAAGCAGTTAGAAAATGACTGGATGGAGTTGTTGGATTTTGAAGTTAAAGGAAAGTAGATCTGGACATCATCAGCATAACAATTTAAAGAAAGATTATGGTTCCTGAAAATTGACCCCAAAGGTAACATATACAGGAGAAAAAGGAATAGGTCTAAGAATGGAGCCTTGGGGAACCCCAGAACTGACAGGAGCTGAAAATGAGGTGAATTCGCCTTAGCTGCACAGAAAAGCTCTGATCAGTCAAATAAGACTGGAACCATCAGAGAGCAGACCCTGTAATGCCCACCCACTGCTGAAGACGCGCTAAGAGAATCCCACGGTCCACCGTTTCAAAGGCAGCTGAAAGATCAAGGAGCACGAGCATAGCAGGATTTCCTGAGTCAACAGTCACCAGTAAATCATTAAAAACTCTCAGTACTTTGAAAAGGTTTGAATCTGGTGAACTGTGAAGTGACCTGAGATTACATGTGTTGTGAATTGGCGCTATAGCAGTGCTTCTCAATTATTTTCTGTTACGCCCCCCCTAGCAAGAAGAAAACTATTCGCGCCCCCCACTCCCCACCATGACTTTCCATCTCTGTATAACATTTTATCCTTATTAGCATTAAAGAAAAGAAAAAAAGAAAGATATATTGTGCATATATTCAGCACGTTTTGCTGAAAAAACTCTAGCAGCTTACCGGCGTGATTGGGGTGTAACGTATTTGAGTGACGCGCTAATTTATTTTGCTACATGGTGTCTGCTTCCAGCATTTTTAGACACACCAAACACTTTCCTCTTCTCCAACTGTGATC